AACTTTGCTGCCGCTCATAAAACATACAAGTACCCTCCATGTCTCGCAGGTGTCTCCCAGACCGAAAGAGCAGAATGCTATGGTGACAGGGGTTCGAGATATGAATACATTCGACAAAGCATTGTTAAATAGCGAAATAAACGAAGTGGTCTGGTCCGCCTTGAACAACGGCAACTTGTCCGACACTCGTCATTTTCAGCATTCCAGCGAGTTCTTTCGCATGTCTGAGAGCGAAGCTGCAACTTCTCGGATCCATCAAACGTTTCCGTAGAAGGTAATTAATATTGTCCGAATCACGATTACTTGGCGTGTCAACACATGAGTAGTATTTTAGCTAGGCCAATTACTGCTTGGCTTATGTAACGGGACGACAAAGCGGGTATTAGCAATGAGGGGATTATGTAGTGTAGTGTAGTCGCTTCGCGTTGCTCATACTGATGGTAGAACCGAACAGAGCATGCGCTGAGCCTGTCATATAACTCTACCTCCCGACTTCCCTAGTTTATGAAGCCAACATAAATGACGCGGACGACAACATTCTCGCTTCGCCTGAAGGAAGTACCCTGATCGAATCCCTCCAAAGACAGACTATCCAACTGCAACTTCTCACATTTCCCTCCCGACAAATGCTGGTATGGTATCCTAAAATAGACAAGTTCATTTATCTCGCAATCATAAACACACACAAACATCCTGTCATTAGGTTAGGGAAAAACAATCCTGTTTTTTTTTCATATGAGGACCGCTAACAAACAGCATCACGTCTTATTTTATTATCTACAGATCTGACATTTCTATATATGTTTCATGTTTTAATTGGAACAAATATCAATACTACGGTCTGAAAATCAGGCCTGTTTGACACAATTTGGTGAAGTGGTGTTAACGAAAGCCTAGACAGAAAATAATACAAGTATTAAATTGTACTTTCACTGAAACCGGTGTTTTGTGTCCCTTGTAAAATCATAAAATTAGTAGGTTGGTTAGACTAACTTCCTGTAGCAGAGTATTACAATGTTCACAAAAGCACGCCACTGAGCTACAAGTCTGCCAGATCAATAAATTTATTTGATATAAACATACTTACGTATTTTGAGTTTAGTATTCCACTTCATGTGCCAAAGGATTAAGGTAAATTTCAATATTATCTCCTATCTATGTCCACGTCCCTCAGGTGATCACCTCCCTTCAGGTTTTCTGACCAAAACGTTGTACACACTTCTCATCTCTCCCATGTTGTCATAAATTATTAAAAACAATAAATATATTTTATTAGTCGTCACATCATTGTTCCTCAGTGTTCCAGTAAAGAAATTTTCTATTTCAGAGAGTAACATAAACTGAGAATATATGACTATATTTATGAAGGAAATTATTTATCTTGACTAATAAATGTACCTGCCGAATGAAACCGAAAATTATTTGTTACGATCGTAATAAAAAAAGCAAGAGCTGAATTTCACGCGATCAACACGCACTTATCTGTTAAACAATAATGCAGTGGATGGCTGGCATAAAAATAGATAGACTTTCCAAGTACAGACTGACAAGTAATGTGGAGATGGATGTGTATCTTTCGGTCTAACATCAAACACAGCATATCAGTATTCAGCTAATAATTACAATAGCAGGTAGCATACACAACGATTTGACCTACTTCAGAACGATAAACAACTGAAAGTAATACTAACAATAATGCAGTAGCGTAACTTGGCTGTGATGTATCTCATTAAACCAGTTCGCGGTTACTTTAAACGCACTACTGACGTTAATTTTTCCCAGGCAATTATTATTAAAGTTTAATATGATTATGCTCTTAAACAGAGAAGACTTGAATCGTACTAAATATTCTACAGTCCTCTTAACTGAACTTTTAATGTCCCTTATGATGAGGGTTTATCAAAACGACGATGGTACGATTATGATAATATTACTTATTACTTCTTAGCAACGAAGGGTAGTGATTGTGTGGACTAAATTTTTCCTGTTAAACTGGAATAGCCCAGATAGTTTCTGAGACGTAATTACTCAGTAAAAGCATAACTGTTTGGATGTGGTGTAATTACAGGAACAGACGATTTGTATATGAGTAATGCTCTAAAACATTTTAGCAAACAAGTAAATTTATAATGTCATACAATGCAATATGTCTACTGTTGAGTAACTCTGTTATAACAGTTCATGAACTCAGTAACAGCTCCTAATAATAAAAAAAGCATCTGAAAATATTGGAACAAAAATATTGAATAATCTCTCTTTACTTGATTTATTTTCCCCTTTCACTTACGCAAATAACGCTTTATCGTACAGTTACTTTAATAGCAATTATGAAACATTCGGTTTATACGATGTTCCATAACGTTATATCAGCTGTAGAAGCTGTTTAATGTATGGCAATACTGGAGAATAAACATGTCTCCATTTTCAGGGCTCGGAAATGTTAAGTTTATAGAGTCAGAGGAAAGTTACGCACTACCGCGAAGATGGAGACAGTATATTTCTCCGAAATGTTCGAATGCACCTATGAATCTATACGGCATCACAACACAGACAAACAACAAAATTCTTAACGGTGTGAGAATCTTAGATCACACTGCGTACACCAGCCCTGAAAATTCGCACTATCTGCAACATTGTCTTGTATTTTAAGCAAGTTCTTCCTGTAATATAATAATAGTCTGGCGGCCGTGACCCATGTATGTGAGCTTTAATTATTAGCATTGTCCCAGTCAAGCTGGTTTGGTAATTATTAACGCGTGCACGATGGGCGGAAATGAAAAGTCGTCGAGAGGAAATGCAGGTCACCACATATCCCACCGCGATTGTTACATTAGTGCCAAAGGAAATAAGGAACTGACCCGCAGACCTTATCGTCATACGCCGTTCAAGTTTAAAAAACGTCGCTCCACTCCCTTACAGCATTCTACCCAAGTCAAAACCCTTATTAATTTAATCCAAGATGTGTCGAACTTCTGCCAGTCAACACGGCGGTACACCACAAAAGATAGCGATCTTAAAATCAAATTACATTGACGAAAACATCAAGGATGTGGAAGACAGTGGAGAACAGTTTGCCTGACTTCTGACGTAATGAGTCTCTCGTGTGACTTCTACTCAGTCATCGCCTAGTGACGTGTGCCTTACAGCTGTTATTTTACAAGAAGGGAATTTGGTTGGCACACGGTCATTACACCAATATATCCGAGTTCAATATTCAGACAACAGTACGCGTAAATTTGTTTTGCGATGGTCTAGATTTCCTTGCTGTTCTCCGAATTCCAATGTGATTCACTATAGTTACTTATCTTCTTAGTCAGATTCGTTCAATAACGTGTATCATGCTTATTACATACTAGCTGAAGTGTCCTTTATTTAAAGGGATTCTCATTTCACCGATCTGTGAAGCCTCGTAATAAAATACTGTAACTTTCTCTTGGCCTATGAATTGATACAATTTCACAGTCCACACTTGTGAATGCGAATGATGAGACACAAGATGGCAAGCGACTCAACCGAATTGCAAACAAAAGAGAATGGCTTGGCGCCAACTTTGTGCTTCCTTTATCAAGCACTTATTAAGTGTTAATTGGTCCGGAAAGCAACACACGTTTATGACAGTTACAACAATGGCGGTTCATTAACAGATACACGACAATGTACAGTAACCTGGTTGTAGTATACAGGATAGGTGTAATAGTTGATGCACTATAGACTGGGTTACTGGGCTATTAATACGTCTGAGCTGGTTCATCACTCACGAGTCTACGATTGGGTATAATGCTTATGGCGTAGACCTGTCCCCAGTCATATAAACACCTCTATACTAACATTAATAATTTACCCGGAGTGTTTACAGACTCTCGTATTGCGTCATTATACTATTAGGTTATGATATGCATTGTGTATTGTTTCACGTAAATCTGACAATACACGACATTTCAGATTATTTGTTAATATTATATTTCAGAATTTGTTCACATTGTTTTTATTTTTAATATTAGTGGCGACAGTTGTGATCGAAATCGGGATTTCTAGACCAATGAGGTATCTACTAATGACAAAACTAATTTTGCCAGTAAGCCTGTATGACAAACGATCACCAGGAGATGGGATTAGAGTGTATGGTAAATATTTCTCAGATAATGGGAATGTTCAACATAATGTTAGTTTGTCCACAGTGATGTTAGTAAATCACTAAACTGGCGATATAGTCCATAGTGTATAACAGGGGTCTGTAAACTTTTCATTACCGCGGGCTACATTGGATATTCATATTCATACACAAAAGAAATAATAATTTTGAGGACAGTAAAAGAAACTGTCTTTATTTAACTTAAATATCTTATATTCACTTGAAAACCTTTAAAAGATGTGTTTCTTCACGCAACTTTGTTTACTGTGAAGACATTGTTAGCTTTCAAACAATTTTGATTTCAAGTAATTGGCACTTTTATAAAATGTAAGCTATTAATACCGCAGTAATGTAGGTATTTTGTTAAATTTCGTATGGTTTTGGCAAAATATCAACGTGCCTTTGCATAATAACGCGATTTTAACGTTATAGGCTTGCACACACATTTGTTTTCATTAAAATATCTTTTTCTATTGTTTTATAAATTTTTTTACAATTAAACGTTCAGTCTGAATAGGCAGTTACTGATGCAACCTCCTTTTTCGGGTTTGCACCTTTGGTCCAACAAAGATATTCTATTAAACACGGCATTTATTAACATTTCGGAGCTTACGTCAGAAGTGAAAACACAAACTTGTCCCGTCTGGGGGGAGGGGGAGGGGGGGGAAGCAAACGCATTCGACGTCGCGTGATTCGGACCAAGAGTCAACTTCTGCTGTAACAATTTACATTGCTCACAACAAACAAATCTTTTCATTCGCCCGAATTCGGGCCTCTTGAGACAAATTAGATTTCACATCAAAACGCTTCCAGCGTAACCTCAGGCTCATGTACGTAAGGTGTAACGGCCTTGTTCCTGCTGTTGCAGTGTAAGCAATGCGGGAAGTCGTTCAAGCGGTCCTCCACTCTGTCCACACACCTGCTGATCCACTCGGACACGCGACCGTACCCCTGCCAGTTCTGCGGCAAGCGCTTCCACCAGAAGTCGGACATGAAGAAGCACACATATATCCACACCGGTGAGTCATTGTTTTTGTTTTGTGGCTAATCGCTATCTTCTGGGATGTTCAAGCACACATATATCCACACCGGTGAGTAACTACGCTTCTCTCAAGCACGAATGTTTAAAGTGGAAGGATCTATTATGACCGATGGCGGTCTTCTGGTGGAGCTATGCAGTCATACCATCACGTCGGAAGAACAGTCTTCGGGTGGTAAAGATCCTAGTAACATCTACTTTCTCCCTCCTGCGGACTTAATCACTTTACGCCTACCCGAATCGCATTTTTGACTGAAGCGGGAAGTCAGCGTATGGCAGGACCTGCAAGTTACGTTGATGAAACTGAGGTGTGAGGGTCTAAAGTGGATTAAAATAGCACAGAAGCGGGATACTCTGAGCAATGATCTGGTCCTTCGTTCCATAAAATAAGGGAATTTCTCCATCATATGAACACCCACTAACTGTTTAAGAAAAATCCTCGTAGGTAAGTTGAAATATGGCTTACAGTTCGAATAGAAGAAACAAGAAATCCGCACAAAAAAGTAATATAAAAAAGAAGTCAGAAAGACTGATGGAGATGAGATAAAGATTCAAATGTATTTTACAGAAATATATTAAAGAGATTCATATTGGACTGATATGACTCAGGATTATTATTTTGTGACAGGGTCCTGCGATTCTCTTGTTAAATTTTGATACCAGGGAGTTGGTTTCGCCGAAAAATAAAATAAAGTTACATAAGACGTTCAAAAACACATTACAACTTTAATATTATCCAATTTAGCATCTATATAGTCGTAAAATTGGAGCTCAGCCGACGGTTATGTAACACACAGGAAAGAAATCATTAGAACAGCAACACGGCATAGTGAAAAAACAGGAAATGTGTAATTTCTGTACAAACAAATCGTTCTAAATTTAAAAAAAACATAAATCATAACCAATCAATGTATATATCAAACCTGCCACAAGAAACGTTTAAGTAATAAATAGCAGCAGGAAAAATAATAACAATAATTCGGCTTAAATGCCTTATTATTCGAAAGAAAATAAATTATCTTACACGAAATATTATATACACTGAAATCAAACATTTTGTAAGTCTCTCGGAAAACTGCTTTAGTGTGATTTCGGTTTCAATATCAACTTTCTTCAATGTCTGTCAAATACTGTGGCTCAAACTATAAGTTCATTCTCCCTAAGTAATAACCATATTTAAACACCCCTCCACCTCACACAATGGCGCCGTGGCTTAGTTGGTTAAAGCGCCTGTCTAGTAAACAGGAGATCGAGGGTTCGAATCCCTCCGGTGCCTATTATAATTTCCATTGATTAATTTTATTAAGTTAATTTATTCTAAAGTACTGTGAACTTTACTGGTCCGTGTTTTGATTGAGATGATACGTATAAAATATTATAACTCAGTCGAAAAAATAATTTTTTTAACGTTGCTCAATAAACAAGAGAAGAATTTTGCGTTGAAAAGTTTGTAATGATGACTACGATGGTGTTTTAGGATGAATGGCGAAGAAAGAGACCGCGGACTATTTTGATATAGTATTCATAAATTTCACACGGCGCAACAACTCAGAAAACAGTCGCCGTGTGAATATCCTTATTATAAGTAAGGATTGTTAAAATACACAACCTCGAAATACCATTATTACACGTAAAAATTTGAAGCTTACAATGTCTAAATAGTACTAAAAATGAAGGCAGCAGGGACTCGAGAGTAGGGTTCAGGAGAGAAAAACCGTTGAAGTTGAATTGCTTTTCATGAGAACAACACCGAGTACAGCCTTTATAACACTAAATTATTGACGTGTCCTAGATAGCCAGCCCTTCTTAAATTAATTTATATCTCTCAAATGTTTGTCTTTCTTCCTACTGTTTGTTTGAAGCTTATTAATTCTGTATTGAAAGTGTTAGACACAAAAAATAAAAAGATTTCAAAAATGTTACGGAACTTAATGGGATAAAATATTTTATATCCTTTGATTTTTTATACCACTAAATATTTACAATAACGAATAACTTTTTATATAAAGTGCTCTCTCTGTACACGTACGTAGCATGGAAATTCCAAAAATCACAGGCGCAACTGGATAAAATATACTGAAATGTTTTTTTACTTATTTATTAGTATTTAGGTCGTTTACTATCCCACGATCAAGTAAAGACCGCCTACCTTTTGCACACATAGATGCTCTGAACTCAATAAATATTAGAAACAATTCTTTTGCATGCATCTAGTGAATTTTGAAACCTACCGCATTAATACTGGATGAGGTTGGCATACGAAATATAAATGATCAGACTGCCTAATGCGCACATTAATGTACACAATATTCAATAAACGGATAATCGATTTAGTTAGTTGACATAAAATCCACATTCACCACATTCATGCACTCACATGAAGCTAACCTAGTTAAAATGTTGAAGTACTTGCGTATATCACCTCGCCTGTCAACTAATGCAAGAAATATACAAAGTATAACAGACATAATCAACGAACTGCATTATGCAGTCCTCCTTGAGATAAGAATATAGTGAATAAATTCCCAGCATTTACTGATTCCAAAGGTTCATCACCATATTCGCAACGACATACAATTGGTTCTTATGACAAACGAGATAAATCCGTGCCTTTACACATTATATTTTAAGATTCAGTCTAATATTATCCTCCCATACATGCCTAGATCTTCCAAGTGGACTCTTCTATTACCAGTTTCTGACTAAAATTGTGTACGCGTTTGTCAAGTCCTTCATGCGTATTATATAAATCGTCTATCTCATTCACCTTAATCCCAAGACACTAATTATATGCGGTAAGGGTACGGGTATAGTTTAGAAACTTATTAAATATATAAGGAATTAAACAGTTCTTAAACAGCAAATTTTATTACTTTACTAATGTCCTCATTTATCAATGCCACTTGACAACGATTGGCACCACTGACCCTATTAGCAAAGGCAAAATTCTTGCAAACGTGCCGGAATTGTTACAACATATGTAAATTTCTTAAAATGTTTTCCTTCTTGTGCGTTCTTCAGCTATCCTAAAATATATTTCATCCGTTATTATTCTTCTAACAAAGCTCCCTCGCCATTCAACTACCGTTTGAGTGCTGTTAAAAATCTAAATTATGTGTCATTTACAATTTTTAATGGTCAACTAAAACATCCACATTTCTTCTGAAATGCGTGCATTTTACGTTAATTATCATTATCTAAATAGAATTAAAAGAACTGTGGTTAAAATAAAAAGAACTGATTTATTAATCGACGCAAACACTCTTATCGTGGATTTCCAAGTCCAGTCAGTAAAGCATACAGCTGGTACTATTACCCCTGTAATCTTTACAACCCCCTCGCTAGTATATCGACGCCCGCTCCACACAAGAGCTGACAATCTAGAGGTGGGAAGGAAATGTGCGTCTACTCCCACGAAAGCAACGAATAATTTATAAGCCTCACAGCCGTCATAAGCTAGTCTTTTCGTCTCTCCCTTACGCCCACAGAGGGTGAATTGTGTGATTGCCGTGCTTTGCGAACCCTCGTCTGACGATGCAGCAAACCCGATACAAGAAAGATGACAATAAGGAATTATTACACAGGCCACTGACAACTTCACAACCTTTGCAGTCCACTGCTGATCCGGGCGGATTTGAAGAAGAAGAAGAAGAAAAAGAAAGAAAGAAAGAGTTATTATATTCCGCATACACAACGTATTATACAACGATGGTAAATTGTGTGTGACATAACGTATTAAAAAGATTCTGAATGTTTTATTCCACCGAGATTTTATTGCGGAGCAAAAACAAATCATAATGAGAAATTAAAATATAATTGTCACATACTTTGTATTACACTGAATGCCAATTCTAAAGTCCCTGTGCAGCACATTCAGTGTTCTAGACCAGTGGTATTCAACCTTTTTTGTTCGCGTACCCCGAGATATAATTTCTCTTCAACTTTGTACCCCCAAAGTTGTTGGTGTATAATTCAAGTTATACATAGTATATAATCTACATCTAAAATAAATTAAATAAATTACATTACTGATTATTCAGTATTTATCATAATTTTTTTTTTTAAAATTTCACTTACCCGCTAAGATGTCTTCGCGTACCCCAGGTTGAATACCACTGTTCTAGACGGCCTCTTATTAGGACGATTCCAAATTAATAGTTTGCTAGCGTTCATGTTTCTCCCATGTGCGCTATATACCACACTCAGGAGAACCACTACGTGAATCATTAAGGTCAAAACAAAAATTGAGGGTCTATAAGAACAGGGTGCTCAGAAGAATATTTGAACCTAAGAGGGATTTAGAAAATGCATAATCAGATGCTTCATGATTTGTACTCTACACCAAACATCAACAGGATGATCAACTGAAGATGAGCGGAGCAAACAGCGAGCTTAAGAGAGATAAGAATTGCGCGCAGAATATTAACTGGGAACTCCTAAAGGGACGAAAGTACTTGGAAAACTAAAAGTAGATGGGAAGATAATACTAAAATGTATCTAAATAATTTAGGTAGGAGGGTGTGGACTGGATCAGGACAGGGACCTATTGGCATAATTTCTGAAAATGATAATTTATAACTTAGGTTCATGAAAGTCAGGTAATTTCTTTACTAGCTGAGTTTCTTAATGACTGTTTTATGAAATTAGTACCAAATGGGTTGTTAAAATTATGAAGTTCACCATTACGAAATTCCAGTCACCAGATCCTTCATGTCTAAAGTTCAAGAATTTGCTACGGCACTCTGAAACAACTTCCAAGTTTTGCTATTTTCTCATGGTAAGAGAACACGTTCTACAGCAACATAATTAAATATACAAAATTATAGTTTTATATAGAACCTACAGTAAAAATTGGCAGCATGTAAAACAGAAGTAAAGACGAAAAATTCAAGAACTGATGTAATCACATTCATTCATTCCTCTCCTCAAATACAAAAGAATAATGAGTTGGCTGTGATTAATTTCATTCCAATTATTCAC